TACATATAGTAGAATTGCGTGTTTGGTTTGTTCCTGGTCTGGGTACTTTGAAGGCCAAGGCAACACCTTAAACTTTTTTTCATGTTCTTCAAACCATCTCTGAACAATTTTTGAAGTGCAGTGTGGCAAGGTAGTATAGCATGTTACCGTCTCTTCCTCAGCTAAATGATGCGCACCCACCTGATCTAAAAGAAAATATGATTAATCAGACCAGGTAACCGTTTTGCATTGCTCCATAGTCCAGCTTTGATGCTCACTCCCATTGATGGCGCTTTCAGCAGTGGGCAGAGCATTCTGACTGGTCTGCAGCTGCACGGCCCCATACACAGCAAACTGGGATACACTGTGTAGTCTAACTCCTTTATATCATGGCCAGCATATTTAGCTACAGTAGCTCTTCTATGTGCTCGGACAAGATGACTACCCATGTAGGATATACATTAAACTAAAAAAGAAGCTTTGAACAAGTGTAGAAAACAAAAAGAAAGCGATCACGTGGCGTGTGAAGTTACTAAAATCCTTGTTGGACCTGGACGTGCACACATGACAAATGAGTGTCTGGAGGGGGATATATCATCAGGGCTATTAAAAAAAGCAGAGGACACACTGCGCACCAGGTCCAACAAGTATGAAGAGGCATGCGCACTATGGGAGGAGAGAGATTACTTCCCAAGTACCTACAATGCTGTAAGGATTAAGTATTATTATTATTATTATCATTATTAGATAGTGATGCTGTGAGGGTTTTGGGTGCTGATAACGGAGTTCAATTCATTTTTTTTTTTTCTGTCATTTATTTTATATGATTCTAACATTCACAATTTAGTACCCAGCAGAGACAAAGGTAACATAAAAAGCCGGTACAACACAAAATTTGTTATAGTCCATTCGCACACCCATCAATAGTTGACGTTATGTATTAGACATAAATAAAATGCCTCATTAACAATTGGAAAAAAATGCCAAACAGGAAAAAAAGGTACCACACCCTTTAACATAAAAAAAAATAAACTACTGCCTTCTTAAATGATTGATGATCTTCCACAGTTCAATCACAACACATGAAAGATTGCAAGAGCTTTTTGTACATTATAACCTATTGCACGTTTGAAGCTTGGATTTATGTAGCTCAGCATCCATCCTGCTTTGGCTGACTTACAACTGTGGACAGAACAGTCTTTCGGGAGGAACAAAAGGGGCAGCTGTCCTAGGACTAGGTATTCTTTAGAGACTAACAGCTTCTGACCTTTTTATCCCTACAGCCTTTTTCTTTAAGTTTTTATTTTTTAAAACTATTATTGTTGTCTGTCACACTGATATCATTTCAATACGAATCAATGGTTTGGTAAGACATTACTCTCTGTGATTGTTGGCAGACTGATAGACATGTCAGCTCTGTCAGATCATTGATTGCATTATAACTGTATTAGTTGTAATGCAATCACAGTGACATGTCGACATATCAATCAGCCTGTCAGTGTGTCAGGCTCCCATGTGGAGGAATCAGTGTGCCTAAATAAAATAATTTGAACGCTGTGTATGACTTACACTCATGATTCATAGTCTCTCTTCTTGTTACCCCCAGAGCCTTCCTATAAAGCCTATAGAAAGATTGGTTACCAACTGCACCAGACATAGAAACATAGAATGTGACGGCAGATAAGAACCATTCGGCCCATCTAGACTGCCCAATTTTTTAAAATACTCGCATTAGTCCCTGGCCTTATCTTATAGTTAGGATAGCCTTATGCCTATCCCACGCATGCTTAAATTCCTTTACTGTGTTAACCTCTACAACTTCAGCTGGAAGGCTATTTCATGCATTTACTACCCTCTCAGTAAAGTAATACTTCTGGATATTATTTTTAAACCTTTGCCCGTCTAATTTAAGACTATGTCCTCTTGTTGTGGTAGTTTTTCTTCTTTTAAATATATAGGTGATACTCAAAAATTAGAATACTGTGCAAAACTTCATTTATTTCAGTAATGCAATGTAAAAGGGGAAACTAATATATGAGATAGACACATTACATGCAAAGCAAGATAGTTTGTCTTTCTATACTAGGCTATTTTTAGCCAGGGTTGGGTTTTACTTCCATTAGCTGGTAACAGCAATTAGGTAGGATCAGGCTGTCACTCATTATTGCTTATTTATCCTATTTTGCTAATACAATACTTTTTTGACCTGATATAGTACACATTATCTAGGCATCTAGCACCTCTCCTAACTGTTGCCTTTGGTCTACCAGGTTTACTTCAGTATTTTCAGTATTATTAATAAAGTTTTTTGTTATTTTTTTTTTGAAGACCTTTTTCTTGATTGGACTGGGATTTTTATCTAGTGGCCACTCTCTATGAGAGTGGTCTCTTAGGCTTTTCCTCTATATTTATATAATACTTTGGGTTACCCCTGTTTTCCTAGTCTAGGTGACCACATTGGGTGTAGGAGCTCTGTTAAGCCCCTATCCTAGACCTTTACCTCTCCTTCTCATTATTACTGTGATATGTGTTTGTCTTTTTATGAATACCTGTTTGTATCTGAGCATGTGCATCTCTAGGTGTGTCTCTGTGAGTATGTATCTGTACATATGTCTTGGAGTGGGTATGTATGGGGACCTTGGTCATATGGTTTTCTAGGGTATCTTTGGAGGATGTGGAAACCCTAAGTACCTTGGGTTGTTAAACGTGCACATATTGATCCAATTTATGTGTTGGGGCATTAGGAGTAGGATTTTGGGCAGCCTACAGCAATTAGACATCTTGTGAGGAACTGACTCTGCTGGGTTTCGAACCCTGGTTTACATGGTGCTAAACCTTTTCCTTACCAGTACACCAGCCTGCCTTTTGCAAATTTACCTGAGATCTGATACTATTGTTTGTAGAGTCAAGGTTATCAGTGACAACTCACTTCAGCTGTGTCTGATCAGGTGTCTGGTTCTTGGCCTATAAAAGCAACTTCCTGTCTCTGTACCTTTGCCAGATTATTGTGGTTCCTGTACTCTCTAATCCAGCGTGTTCCTGTTTCTCCTTCCTGTTGCTGAATTTGGACTGTTTTGACTTTGCTGCTTCTCCTTCCCACTGACCTCGGCTTGCCTGACTACGATTATCATCTTTCTGTTCCAGTCTCCCATCTCTGCTTAAGACCAGAAGGCCACTCAAGGCTCAGGGGCTCAACCACCTGGGTAACGAGTGGCTACCTCTGGCAGAAAACATTGCTGATCTGGCTACTGGACTCCAAAACTTTGTAACATCAATATCATTACACATCTATTATTGAGGCTTTGGAACCCCCGATCTACTTACCTCTATTACTCATCAGCCCTTCCCAAAATCTTAAATCTTTCAACGCCCATCTTTCTTGCTGCTAGAGTGCAGTCAATACATTTTATGTCATAGATGCTCTTGTACTGTAAGAGAGGAGATAGATTTGCACCAGACAATGGAACTAACTGGAATTCCAGGGAGGGGGAGGGGAGTCCTCACCTGATATTGCATCTTATATATCAGACAAGGGCATGCTAAAATGTTTCTGTTCATGGAAAAATGACTTGTATGTGCACAGAGAGGAGAGCAAAGTTATTAAGGAAAAAAAAAGAAATAGACTGAACATAAGATTACTTCAAGAGAAGGAAGTGAAATGATGAGTACGTGCATATTGATCAGGAACCCACATAAAATAAAGAATAATTATTTTGTTCCTCCAGCTCAAAGAAACCACACATTACTCTTGTCTCATGGGTACCATGTATTCACATGCACATACCACATCAATTACCAAAGCAGCACCTAGGTCATTCAAACCATAATTTTCAAAACTACACATAATCTTCAGGCACAATTCAAGTACATTGCTTAATATCATAATGGTTGTACCTCTTATCTTGAGCAGCTAGAGAGCAATCAGGCATCCATAGACTGCAGCTAGCATTTAGTACCAAATGAATAAATTAATGTGAAAATAATTTAAATCTTTTAGGTATCTCTGTATAGCGATAAAGCTTGATGTGCTGTATTAACTTCATATGCTTGTTATGTGGCCTAAGTTTAAATTTCATGTATATAAAATACATTTAAGGGTACCTACATAAATAATAAGTAATACTATGAGATTAACATAGCTATCTGTATGATACTGGACATTTCAGGCTATTGCAGGCTACATAAAAAGTCCTCTGGCGAGCCCAAAGCAGTTTATACGCACACATATACACCTGATGTCCTAATGAAAGTTCCAGTTAGGAACTGAAACATTGACCTATTTGGAGATTGAGCAATAAGGAAAAGAATCCTTGACGCCAGGGAGTGCTGGTATTTGAACTATACATGAAGCGTTACTGAGCATCATGCTATTTATTTGGAAGTAGGAGTGCAGAAGCTTTGATTGTATAATATATATATATATATATATATATATATATATATATATATATACACACACACACCAAACAGATCAACCTCTTGCACTCCTACAAAAAAAAAAAAAAGTATTAAATAACTGGTGCCAAGTCACAGCAATATAGGAATATCAAAAAAATACCGGCACTCTAGGCTTTGTTCATCCGATTTATTTTTGGTGAATCCAAAGATGTCAACGTTTCAGCTCCCGGTCGGAGCTTTCATCAGGACACATGAAATGGCATACATTAAAATGACAAACATATAAAGGACATGTTAACCAATACTTACTCACCAAATCAGCTGTAGCGCCAGATATATACAGTGCAGGAAAAAAAAAAAAAAAAAAAATTTTAACACTTTTTGGCAATTACAAATAACACATCTTAATAGAAGGTCCACTTTTTAGCATCACTTTTATAAATATATCAATAGGTATGTTTATGCTCACAACACTATTTATTATTATGTTTCTATTATTATGCTTTCAGACTGTGAGGTAAGGACAGTTATATACGTGAGATCATGAAGGCGAAAGAAACGCTTCTCTTTTGAAATTTAGTAACAATATTGTAAAGGATACATCTGTATTCATATCCCCTTAGGCACGGCGGGGAACTGCTGCTATAGCAACGTCAACAAACCCACGTCATGGACTGGACTGGCTGATCGCTGCAAAAGGAGATATTCTCCCTGCGCCTGTTGTTTATACAGCGGCGGCCGAGAGCGAGGTTGTAACAAACGGTTGCCATGGGATTGTGACATAGCCGCAGGTAAACGATTGGCCACAGCTACTCCTTGATGTGGGAGTGGTTTGACGAAAGGCAGACATGCGCATATGCGCTGAGAGCACGCCAAACATCAGGGGTGATGTGATACAACTGATTTGGTGAGTGAGTATTGGTTAACATGTCCTTTATATGTTTGTCATTTTTAATGTATGCCATTTCATGTGTCCAGATGAAAGCTCCGACCGGGAGATGAAACGTTGACATCTTTGGATTCACCAAAAATAAATCGGATGAACATATCCTAGCGTGCTGGTATTTTTTTGATATTAATATATATATATATATATATACTGTCACGGTTCTCACCTGATAGACAGACGGCAAGACGTGGTCGCTCTTGGAGTTCCCAACAGGGGACTTGAACCGGGGATCTTCTCAGTGGATCTTTCTACCTCTGAGCCACAGCAGCTACTTACAGTGAAGGCTGATTCCAGTCCTGTTCATCCTGACATGGCTACTACTCTGGGGGCTGCACCTTGACTTGGCTGTGTTTCACCTGACTCTGATCAGTCATCAGCAGGGTATATAAACCCAGCCTCGCCCTGTGCTCAGGGTCAAGTCTTTGATCCTGTTTGTTCTAGTGTTCCTGTTTCATCGCTTCGCATTATTGACCCCGGCTTCCTGACTCGTTTATTCTGACTTCTGGCATCCCTTGACTTCGGCTACTCCTCGTTGTTCCTGTCCTCTGGCATCCTTTGACCTCGGCTATCCCTCGACCATCCTGCTGGTTCAGTCCTTGCCTGTCCTGCGTATTGGTACTGCATCCTGCACAGCCCCCGTGCACAGACCCACAGGCCAGGTGAATTCTTACCTGACCACCTCGGCCTGTGGCTATCTGCAAGGGTGAGCATCATATCTGCGCTACAGAATCCCAATTCAGGTAAGACCCTGACATAAGACTTGACCATTATGGAGTCCGCAGAGATGTGCTCACCCTCGACCCAGCGTGTGTCCAGCCTGGCCCAGACTGTTTCGGAGCTGCAGCAAGAAATTTTATTCCTTAAAGGCGCAGTACATCCAGCCCCGGAACCAGCTTTTCCTGAACCGTTTGTCATCATGCCCGACCGATTTGATGGTAGCCGCACATCCTTTCAGTCTTTCAAGATGGATTGTGAGGTGTTGTTTTCTTTAAAGCCTCGAACATATGCCACAGAATTCATCAGGGTCAGAGCGGCTATCAACCTGTTGTCTGGACGCATCAAAGTTTGGGCTCACCAAATGTTGCAGACGAAGAGTCCTGTCCTGGTCAGCTGGGAATCCTTTAGTACTGCTATGGACTCACAATGTAAGACCACTGTGGCCAAGTCAGCTCCACGTACTAAAAAATCTCAGATTCTTCCTAACCAAGAAACCGAGTACCACCACTACGCCCCAGAGATGCCTCCTTATGTTCCAGCTCCCAGGAAAACTCCAGAGGTATCCGGTGTTCCACTTGACCCTGTGGAACCTATGCAATTAGGACTCGTCCACTGCAAAGTGACACCTAAGGAAAGAGACCGAAGGAGAAGCTATGGCCTATGTTACTACTGTGGAGAAAAAGGGCATTTCATCACGCTTTGTCCTGTTCGCCCTCCTAGACCTCCAGCTCTCCGACTTGGTACTAGTTTCCTTCGCCCTGTGTACACCGCATACCAGCCTAAAAAGCCAAATAGAAGCCGTTGTGCTTGCACATGCTTGGCTTCCGCGAGAAAACCTCCATCCCCTGCTCCAGAGCCTCCTGCATCTACTCCCGAAGTTGCTTCCTGTGATACCACCACTACTTCCTGCCCGCCCGAAGAGGTTTTACCTGTGGATTGTGCCGTTGCTTCTAATGGCACTATAGTCCGTAAAGAAGACCTTTAAATGTTCGAAAAAGCATTGTTAGCTGTGAACACTGCTCCTGCCAAAGTTTTGGAAGTGCTTGCCACCTGTACCCGGAACCTAAAAGACCTGGACAATTCTCCAGCCGTACCAGAAGCTGGTACTGCGGACTCCCAAGCTGTAAAAGGAATCCTTGCTGGGGAGTTTGACTATGGGGACTCACTGGATTCAGATAGTGACCCTGGAGAGGTGTACTATGCTGACAGTGAACCTATTTACGCCCGGAGGTCGTTTTTAAAGGGTACTGTCACGGTTCTCACCTGATAGACAGACGGCAAGACGTGGTCGCTCTTGGAGTTCCCAACAGGGGACTTGAACCGGGGATCTTCTCAGTCCTGGTCCTGCTTTCTACCTCTGAGCCACAGCAGCTATTTACAGTGAAGACTGATTCCAGTCCTGTTCATCCTGACATGGCTACTACTCTGGGGGCTGCACCTTGACTTGGCTGTGTTTCACCTGACTCTGATCAGTCATCAGCAGGGTATATAAACCCAGCCTCGCCCTGTGCTCAGGGTCAAGTCTTTGATCCTGTTTGTTCTAGTGTTCCTGTTTCATTGCTTCGCATTATTGACCCCGGCTTCCTGACTCGTTTATTCTGACTTCTGGCATCCCTTGACTTCGGCTACTCCTCGTTGTTCCTGTCCTCTGGCATCCTTTGACCTCGGCTATCCCTCGACCATCCTGCTGGTTCAGTCCTTGCCTGTCCTGCGTATTGGTACTGCATCCTGCACAGCCCCCGTGCACAGACCCACAGGCCAGGTGAATTCTTACCTGACCACCTCGGCCTGTGGCTATCTGCAAGGGTGAGCATCATATCTGCGCTACAGACTCCCAATTCAGGTAAGACCCTGACATATACACACACACACACATATATATATGTTAAGGCCTTGGCCTGTAGTTGTGGGAGGGGCTTGAATTCCCTTTAAAAGGGCTGCCAATCCTCTCCCATCTTACCGTGGATGGTCTTGTGGGTCTGAAACGATTACTTCCGGTTCAGACTGCCATTTTGGATTTCTTACCTGTGTCCCTGGTGGTCTCCTTGTCCGGTGCTTCCCAACCTCTCCCAACCGTCGCTGGTGTCCGCGCAGCCCGTTCTCGGCACTAACAGTGGGTCTAAAACCGTAAGTCTGGCCCCTACCGTAAAGCAATGGCCGCAAACCTTGCTCGCTTTCACGGTAAGGGCTCCGTTCATTTGAACCATGCATTCGACTTATACAATCAAGCTTGTGGCACTCACGCCATTCGGCTAATTTTTCGTTTTCATATTTTCAATGTACGCATGTTTTACATAACCAATTCATACGAATGCGACCTTTCGTTCACATATTACAGTATAAGCATTCGGTACTTTCATAGACATGATACGAACAGCACTTAGGGGACATATTTCATTCGAATGACTTAGGTTTTACACGTATCCCTCTTTGTCTTTCGGTAGTTATAGCCAGACACACAGCTAAAACGCACGAATCTCACCTAATTAGTCAATATAAACATTTATATTATATTTATATAAACAAATGATATTACAATGATTTAAAATTCCATTTATTAGTTAAAGTACAGGTGATGGAAGTCTGGATTTTTATAAGCTCATATTCCTGACCTTTTTTCCCCACAGGTCCATATCAGGAATTTCGTGCAGATTTCTAACAATTGTGATTACTGACAACTGTGTCAAATTATATTTGCTTTCTAGGTTGGTTAGAAATTTGATTGTTAAAATTATGCTATTGGCTAAATTATACTTGGTAATTTAGTAAGCATGTATAATTTACTTTCTTAGGTTCCTGAACTTCAGACGGTAGCTTTACAAGCACGAGAAACCTGGTATCCTTTGTCTTATTACTACCCTCTGTATAGTGTTTGGTAGGTTCATTTGATTTCGGGCCCACGATCTGGCCAGTGGATACTATACGCACAGACACTTATGTCATATTCATGTCCATAGGTCTCAGCACGATTCTATTGCCATCCGCTACTATATCTCTGCATAGACATCTCGTCCTGACTCAACATATCAGGTACTACGCCAGAACCAAGTGCCTTTCTAGTTTTAGAGTGGTACTGGTTTTAGGTTAAGCAGCCCAACTAGGAACTACTTTCCGGTCTTAATCCATAGGCTAATGGTCCCGCGAGGCCAACACCCATCCTCATACTCCCTCGGACCAAATCATAGTTACCCGCCTCGCATGGTCGCATAGAGAGGGCCTCACCTGTCACTTCCATAACCATTTTATCTTATGCTTTAATTGTCACCGAGTGGCCAACACCCCGCCACAATGTGGCCTCAATCTCCTCTCGGGACAACGCATAGGTAGCGCCTCTCACGCCGCTTGGCAATTATGGACTCATCTGTCACGTTTCAATAGCATAATTCTTCACCGATTGGCTTCTAACTAGCCTGCCAGTACCCAATATGTAACGGGTTTCTCGTATATATATTTTCTGTTATGTATTAAGTTCCTGAGGCTATTGTGGTTTTAGTTCAGGTAGGTTGTTACATGTTTGTTCTCATGGTTTCCGGGCTCATGCAATCCATGTGCCCAAGTAAAGTTTTCCTAAAACTCACCACACCTGCATCATGTCACATTTTGCTACACTTTTACAACGCCATCCCTCACAGCATTTGGTTAAATTTATCATCAGAGGGCTGTTCCAGGGGTTCCACACGGATTTGGTACAATTTTGCCAACTGGGACACTAGACGGCAAATATTTGCAAACCACTTTAACAGACACAAAGTTAGTGCGTACACTTATTAGGACTGAGGTAGATCAAGGGTTTTGTTGGGACTTTTCGTTTCCCCACCTTTCACATCTTGGGAAACCAACCCATAGGGGTTGTCACAGGGAACACTTCACTTAAACCGAGACTAATCATAGACTTGTCAGCACCGCATTCCTCCACCATTCCCAACCTTAATTCCCTCATACCCTCCGACGGATTTTCCTTACAATATGTCACTATCGGCAATGCCATTTGGGCCAATTTGATGGCTGGTACAAGAGCATGGCTCAGTAAAACATACATTGTCAACACTTTTAACCTGCTTCCCATTCACCCTTCACTATGACATCTACACTGCATTTATATGGCCAGGACCTTATTGT